GCCAGAGGTCAACCTCTGCCACCGGGGATAGAGTCTCGCGGCCAGAGGTCGAGCCCCGCGACCAGAGGTCAACCTCTGCCACCGGGGATAGAGTCTCGCGGCCAGAGGTCGAGCCCCGCGACCAGAGGTCAACCTCTGCCACCGGGGATAGAGTCTCGCGGCCAGAGGTCGAGCCTCGCGACCAGAGGTCAACCTCTGCCACCGGGGGTCGAGTCTCGTGGCCAGAGGTCGACCTCTGCCACTGGGGGTCGAGTCTCGCGGCCAGAGGTCGAGCCCTGCGGCCAGAGGTCAACCTCTGCCGCCAGGGGTCGAGTCTCGTGGCCAGAGGTCGACTACTGCCACCAGGGGTCGAGTCTCGCGGCCAGAGGTCGAGCCCCGCGACCAGAGGTCAACCTCTGCGGCCAGAGGTCAACCTCTGCCACTGGGGGTCGAGTCTCGCGGCCAGAGGTCGAGCCCCGCGACCAGAGGTCAACCTCTGCNTCTCGCGGCCAGAGGTCGAGCCCCGCGACCAGAGGTCAACCTCTGCCGCCAGGGGTCGAGTCTCGCGGCCAGGGGTTGACCTCCAACCTCCGTGGCTGGCGGTTGACCTCTGCGGCCTTCAGCCCAGACAGCAGGGTTTCAGGATGAACTCCCACCTGTGCGATCCTGGTCTTCTTCTGCTGGAACTGACAGAGGCGGAGAATTCGCGCGCCGGACTCGTCGTTAAACTGCTGCTGGAAAGGATGCAGGAGCTGCATCTGCTCGCCAAAACTAGAAACAACAAGTTACACTCTGAATGATTTATCCTCCTGACTGGGCCAATATCACATCATTTCTGAGTGAATGCAGCAGCATGAAAAGGCAGAAGCTGTGGAGTCACCTGCACACAGACACCTGTCCCACCTCCAGCAGGGTGAGGGCGTTGATGATCACAGACAGCGACTCAAACGCCAGCTGTAGGACAGGAGAGGATCCGTTAGAAGCAGAACTTTATGGGTTTCCATGACTAAGATGTTTCAGAGGTTACTGCACCCCCCTCCCTTCAGCCCCCTCCTCAGGCCTCCTACCTGCTTGGAGTGGTTGTCCACCATGCTGGAGGAGTCGTCCACTGCCAGACAGATCTGGTACTCTCTCTTGCTGGGCTTGGTCCTTCTCAGCCAGATCTTGTCTTTGCGGAACTGGCTGGCGATGTACGGGATGACCTTCCGCATGTTCAGACGCTTCCCTGTGCGGTAATCCCCCCTGAGGAGAGGCCACACACACATAATCATCATCGGTGGGGGTGGGGCACGTCAATGTGAAGCGGCTGTCTGAGGTCTGACCTGAGCTTGGCGGCCTGCGTGGGTTCCAGGATGAGGCGGAGCTGCTCGCAGAGCTGCTGCGACAGAGCCGAGGTCAGAGTCTGGTACCGGAGCCACATGGAGGCTGCTGCTGCCTCCTGGGAACAAGCACGACATCAGGGTCCAGTCTGACATCACATCCTCTCCAGGATCAGAGGCATCCTAAATGTTTCACACTCTACTCACCTCCTCCTGAGAACCCGGAGCTAGTCTCCTCCAGGACTCCAGCTGCAGCTCCATCTCCCTCCTCAGCTCCTCTGGGTCTCGCTCTGGTTTCTGCAGGAGGAAAATCGGCCGTTAGAGGCTCAGCCTGCTGGACGGACGCCGTTTCAAACCCGGGCCTCATCCTACCTGCACCGGGTGCAGCAGGAGCTCAGGAACAGTATGGATGCTGGATTCTCTGCCTCTTTCAGCTCGCTCCTCCTCTACAGGTTGATGTTGTCGGTCCTTCGGCCTCTCGTCTTCCTCATCCTGCTGCTGCGCCTCCATTTCTCCGCCCTCCACACCTGCAGACCAATGAGGACGTAGAAGCGGGTTACTGGAGGGAGACGCAGCCACCAATGAAAAATAAGAACAACAGAAACCTTTCTGGGAGAACTTGGCAGCGTCCAGGCGGTCAGGCTTCAGCTCCTCTACGTCAGCAGATTTCAGCTGTTCCTCGTGGTCCTCCGTTTCCATGGCGACATCCTCCTCCTCCTCCTGGTCCCTCTGAGGTCCTGCTGCCTTTTCTTGCTCCGCACTGGCGACATCTGAAAGCGGTTATCAGAGCGGTTATTGGGTATCGGAGGCGGATCAGGACGCCGGCAGTGAGGCAGACCACCGACCGTAAGTCTGCGCGTCGTACGCCGCCTCTCCATCTTTGATGTGTTCGTACAGCTCTGACTCCTGCTGGCCTTCGGTCTGCCTGTTCTCCGTGCGCTCCTGGCTGCCCTCCACCGTACGCAGGCGCTTGCTGACGCGCTCGTTGTAGTCGCCCGTGGACCGTTCCTTATCTGCTCGGCCGGGTTTCCTCTTGTAGCTCTGAGAAGGGACGGCGTGACGAGATCGTTTCAGAGGAAAAGAACCGAAAGGTGAACTAACGAGAAGCGCCGCAGCAGCCGTACCTGCGTCTTGCTCCGAGTCTGTGTCTGTGAGGCCATCCTGGCCGTCAGCTTGGACTGGTGGCCCTCTGATTGGCTGGCGTCAGCCGCTCCACTGCCATGCTCCTAGAGGGGGTGGGGGGGAGCAGTCAGTAATCATCCAGGAGGGAAACCAAAGCCACAGACCTGGATCCTCCGTTACCTCCTTGGCCTGGTCTCTCTCTGAAGCCGCCCCCGCCAGCTCCACCGCCGCCTCGCTCTGAATGTTCTCCTCTCCAGTCTGACCGTCCGCGCTGTGCTCCTTCCTCTCAGCAGAAGCAGGCTCCTCGTCGTCCCCTTCCTCCTCCTCCTCCTCCTCCTCCTGTTCCGCCTGATGGAGCAAACGGAGCTGAGTTAACGGTTCCTGTGATCTTCACAGATTCACAAACATCCGTTCACATCCAGACCTTCGCTTTATCTCCGCCGTCCTTCGGTGCAGTCGCCTCCTCTCTTTCTTCCCGTCCCTCCTTATCCTCCTCCCCCTCCTTTTCTTCCTCCTCATCAGCAGCCTCCTCCTCTCCTGATACCTTCTCCTGTCCTTTCTCCTCCTCCTCCTCCTCAGTCTGTGGCTCCTCCTCTCTGGGGTTCTCCTCCATCTCAGTGTCTCCCGGCTCCTCTTCCTCTCCATCTTTCTGTTCTCCTTCTTTCTCCTCCGGTTCCGGGGCTTTGTCAGCGATATCTAACGGGTTCTCCTCTGAAAAGTCCAAAACCAGAATCAGAGTTTGTGGAAAGATGGAATTCAAGCTCCTGTCAGACCTTGATGATTTAGACCAGCATCTGCCTGACGTACGGAAAACCTGCTAAAAACGCTGGAATACGTTTTGTTAAAGTTATGAGCACACTGAAACAAGTCGACAGTTCCAGGTCAGGTATCTGATGGTCGTCATCCGTTCAGTGTCAGTTCTTCATCAGTCGTGGCGTCTAGCTGATCCTAAACCTCTGAGTAACTTCTGCGTAACTTATCCAGAACTTCTCTCCAAGCATATCAAGGTATCTGACGTGTTCCAGACGAGCGCTGAACGTGTTTCTAACTTCCAGCTACTGTATAATGGCGTATTGGCAGCGTTTTGGTATAAAGGGGGTTCACAGGAGGAAACCGTCAGTTCTCCTCCAGACTTCATCCCCATCATAGGGTGAGCCAGAAGGTGAGGGTGATGGATCCTCCCTGCGTTCACGCCCACCACCAACACACTTCCTAGCAGACATGACGCTCAATCTGATGACATCAAAAGCTTTCTTTTTCTTTCTTCTTTTTTTTTTTTTTGCCGGGTGGTAAACAGCAGCTGGGTTAATACTGCGATCAAAGACATCATTTTATGCAGACTGGGCGCCTCCTGAGGGAAGCATCTTTAATTGATGCTTCCTAATGCCCATAAAATGATGCTTGTCCATTATTTCATGGGCATTATGCTGCCGTGCGTTATGCAGAAGTTAGGCTGTCGTTGGACAGAAGTTCTGGAATCATTATGAATACTCTATGTATACGACAAAAATAGAAAAAATCCATAGAAAGTTCAGCGTATGGCAGCGTTTTAGGAGATTCTGGGACGTCAGGCAGATAAATCAGCACAGTGTGACAGGAGTCTCACAATTTATGTGTTTGGAGGCTGTTTTAAAAGAGTTGAAACACAGAAGAAGAAGAAGAGCTTCCAGAGAGGATTTCATTTAGTTCATTTAACTGGTACCTTCAGGGGAAACCATCAGACATGCGCAACAAAAAAACCACGATGGAAGCCATACTAAACTGGACACACAGCTCCAGTTTAGAGCATCGGTCTGAACAGTTGGGGTTAAGATCAGCTGATAAAAGTTGTTTTTTTCCTGATCTGCTCAGGAAGCAGCAGGAAACGTTGATCAGCAGCAGCCCTTACCATCTCCCTCGCACTCCTCATCCTCTCCAGCCTCTTCATCCTGGTCCAGGTTGAGGTCCTCTGGCAGATCCATGGCCTCTGGCTCCGGTCTCTTGTCCTGCTGACCGTGGAAGGGGTCCACCTCATTCTCATCAAACTCTCTCTGCGAAAAGGAAGACCTCAGATATTAGTTATTGTCTCTAAACCCAGAATGAGATCTCTGGAGATCTACCAGATATTTGGAAGGTTTCATGATTTGATTCTCTAGTGGAGTTTCTCCTCAGATCTAAAGTCACCTGATCTCCTTGCTCGTGGATCTTCTCCGCCTCCTCCTCACACATCTGTTCATCCTCCTCCTGGCTCTTCTTCTTCTCCATGTTGGACTCTGCTGCATCCAAGTTGTCGTCCTTGGCAACCAGTTCGGATTCTCCCTGAGAAATCGTCATAGAAGGCGACGGTTAGTGCTTCCTCCTGGAAAAACCAGCGTTCCCATCATCTTCATCCCAGGAGGAACCCTGCTGAGCGGTACCTGATCCATGCCCTGTCCAGACTCCTCTTCCTTATCACTCCCCTCTTCCTCATCATCTTCATCATCACCCCACATTCTCTCGTCCAAAGTGTCCGTCTGACCTTCTCCCAGGTCTCCCATCTTTTTATCCAGCTCCTCTTTATCCTCCTCCTCAGACTCCTCTTCCTCACCTGTAAAGCATCCAGAGAAGCTTTGGGTCATTGATCTGAGCGGGGAAACACTAACATCTAAACAGAGAGAAGGTCAAAGGTTACACCAGCAGACTTCTGGCCCTCAGCTCCACTCACCGGCTTCATTCTGCTCTCCATCATGCACCCGTCCATCAAAGTCTTCAGACATTTCAATGGCATTGTCTTCACTCTTGATGTTTTCTTTATCCTGCTGCTCCTCCTTCTCCACCCCCTCCTGGAAGGTGTCCTCCACCTGGAGGGAAAGGTCAGAGGTTAGCAGTCTGTATCACAGGTGTAACTTTCTGAAGGACTGGTGTGGACATGTCCCCACAGACTTTGGCCGGGTGGGGACAGTCCCCACCAATAATCTCTGCTTTTTTCCGCTCATTTATTTTAGCCAAAGGTAACAGAGGTTGGGTGCAGCTATTTGTGTTCAGAGTATTTGAGTCAGTGTTTTATTTCCTCCTCTCTCCCACTGCTCCTGTGTCCCTCCTCTTAGTGTTACATCATCCGATCTGTCGC